CCCCCCCGTGGCACCCCCCCCCCCCGCTTTCCTCCCCGGGGGGTAGCAAGAAGGGGAGGGTGCAGGCATCTCCAGGTGGGGAGGGGAAGGCAGGGGTGTGTGCCAAGCTCGGTGCTGGTCTCTTTCCAAATATAAATACACGTGTCAAAACTCCTGGGAAATCCTCCACCACCCACCACCCAAGCACTCTCTGTGTCTGGAGAGGGGGTGGTGGAGGGGGCCAGGCACCGGCTGGCTGTGGTTTACTGCATCCGTAGGGTGGGTACCCCACGAGCCTCCTGCTGCTCACTGTAGAAGAGATGACACTCGGGGTCCCCCCGAATGGTGGGGGCTTCCTGGATCACCTTCCCGGTGTTGGGGTTCACACACCAGCACTCCCCACGCTGCCCGTTCACAGACATCTTGCACTGAGGACAGAAAAGAGGAACAGGTGGAGAACACCCCCACGGCCACCACCAGCTTTCCTACCCTGTGCTGAGTGCGCGCTGCAGGGTGTGCCCCTCAACATTGAATGTGCACCAGGGAATCTGGTTTAAATGCAGGTCTGGGGTGGCCTGAAACTGCACAGCTGGCAAGCTCCAATGTGATGCCAACACTGTTGGCCCAGAGACAACTCTGACCAGCAAGGCTGTCGGGGATGCCCAACGACGAAAGTCTCCGCCCCCACCCTCAAGGAGGTCCCATCCAGTGGGGGACACAGCACACTGGAGTTGAGTCACACGGTGAGGTGAAAAACCTCACGTCCTAATAAAACTCAGTATATGCCAGGCACTGTGTGAGCAATATATATATACGACTCATTCTGTTAATATCTTACATACATATTTATTTCAAAATACGCACTGCTCATTCAGTTTATATCTCCCATAGATATTCAGTCCTCACAACCACCTTGTAAATTAGGTACCATTATTATCCCCACTTTACAGATAGAGACTGAAGCTCAGAATGGCTAAGTAACTTGCCCAAGGTCGCACAGCTGGGAAGAGGCATAGCTGAAATGAGAACCCAGGCATTCCCGTCCCAGGGTCCCTGCTCTTATCCACTCACTAACTCCTCTTGCAAATCGCTTTAGTTACCCAGACAGTATAGCAGATAGCCTGTTTTTCATTAGAAGAGATTGCTATTTTCTCTGAGCTCCAAATGAAGTAGTTGGCTTACATTTATAGGGTACATGTACAAATAGCTTTTAACGCTAGGCTGATAATATTTAGAGGGGCAAGATGCCTGTACAGTGAAGGAGGTGGGGAAGGGAGACCACCAAGGGATCAGCAGAGCCCGGTACCCATTTCCTGGCTCCAGCCATCAACCTTGATGTCAGTCCTCACTGCCCATTAGGATCACCAGGTGAGCTGTTAAAAACCCCAGTGCCCAGAAAGCACCCCAGATCCACAAATCTGAATCCCTGGGGGTGGGGCCCAGGCAATCATCTTCTTTAAAGTTCCCCAGAAGATCCCAGAGTGCAACAGGGCTGGGAACCTCTGCCTGAAAATGATGCTAGCTGCAGACCACTGTCCCCTTCTCCCGCTCACTCCTCTCTGCCTTCTGTGAAATGCACAGGCACTTCTCCCTATGTGAGGGGTAATGAGGTGCAGGAAGCGAGGTAAAAGGACAACTGAGCATAGTTCATCACTACAAAGTCTACGTGGCTATGTTAAAAATACTTACAATGTTAAGGGGGAAATACCGCATGTGCACGTCCATCATCACAATGTGTATGGACAGAAAGAGGAGGAGGAAGGAAAAGGTCTCCTGAGCGGTTTACCCAAACTTTCTGAATTTTCTCGAACCCACTTATAATGTTGTTCTATTACTGTTTTTAAACATTTTAAAAGGCATTTCTCATCCCTGATTCTCCATTCCCTGAGATACCTGAAAACCAGACACTAGGCCAGTGGTCTGAATCAGTGATTCTACAGTGTGGTCCATGGACCTTCAACATTCCCTGCGAGCTTGCTAGAACTGCATATTCTTGGTCCCCATCAACCTACTGAACGGCACTCTCTGGGGGTGGGGGCCCAGGATCAGCTCCAGGTGATTCTAATGCTCAGTAAAAGTTGAGATGAGCTGGTTTAAACCCCCATCTCTTTTCCAAGAGGCTCCCTCCCAACCAGACTCTAAGTGCTGCTGGCAAGTGGCCGGGTAAGTGGAGTCAGCCTCTGACCTGCCCAAGGCCAGGGGTGGGGGCCCACCCTCCAGGGCCTGGCTGCTGGCACCCCATCCCCGTGGTTGCAGAAGTCCGTGTCTCCCACTCAGCTCTCAGACCTCAGAGGATTATGGATGGGTGGTGCAGAAACAAGACACGCCCAGGGCCCAGGGCTCAGGAGGAGCCTCTGCAGCCCAGGTTGGCACCCAGGCTTACCTGTTTGAGGTTGTACAGGCCATGCTTGTCACAGTTGGGGATGAGCAATGCATAGAGGTGCTCCAGAGGGCCCCGCTCATCTGGAAGGCGCATGGTGGAGATCCGCTCCAGGACCTGGTCCAATTCCTGCTGGCAGGGGGTCTGTGGGCACAGACAGGAGGCTTCGAGTGAGAATAAGGGGCACACAAACACTGGAGCTGGGTGCAACCTCAGAAAGAAGCTCACCCCTGGGGAAAAGACTTTCCCAAGGCCACACAGCTAGTAGGTGGGACCAGGGATCTCATTGTCATATTCTTATGCCCAACCCCAAGCCCTAAAGAAGGTCCCAAGGAATGAGTTTTCCTGCTTCTCCTTGCTCTGTGACAACAGCTTCGATGGGCCAAGATGGGCTCTACCGGAAAATGCTGAATTGTCTAGAGCATCCACACCCCAACCCACTGGCCCATGCTCCATTCCTTTCCATAAACCCAAACGGGGCCAAGACCCAAGAAAGCAGAGCTGAGCAGAAAGGGGTGAAGGCAGCACAGTCGGGGAAGCACATAACAACCAGAGGGGCGGGTTTCAGGGCATCGTCTTCACCCCTGCTATTCATTTTCTTTGCCTTTGTCCAAAACCAAACAGAAATGAGGAGGTTTTAGAAGGAGGAGACTTCAAGAAACCATATGTCCAGCCCATCTCACTACCCAAGATACTGACTGGCCTGAAGGTCACAGAATACATTAGAGGCAAAACTGGAAAGAGCTTTGCCTCCAGGTGACACAGGGCATGGATCTTATTGAGATCCCTCCTGTCCCCTGCCCCCTGCCGCTGCAAGACTTCCTTTCCACGTCCTCCCAGCCCTCCAATCAGACCCAACCCCCACTGACCCTGGCGGCTGGTGGCCGCAGCTTCTTGGGCTCCTCCGAGCCGACCTGATGTTTGCCACCTTTGCCCATTTGCCGGTGCTGCTCCGTGACTCTCTCCCGGAACCTAGCCATCTCCTTCATGCCCGATGTGAGGTGCTTGCGGCCAGCACTGCCTCCGCCTCCCATGTTCAGGGAACCGTCCTCGATGTTCTCGACCAGGCCTCCTTCCGAGTGATCCTCACCATTGTCTGCAGAGAAAGGAAGGGAGAAAAAGCTCCAGGTCCAGTTTCCTGGAGAGAGATGGGTCCTCTAGGGACCACCTGGACCCCTAATGAAGACAAGGAGGGAGATGACTAACCCCTGCTGAGTGCTGATCAGGTGCCAGGGCCTGTGCTAAGCAATGTACGTGGATTATCTATGTCAGTTTCACAGTCACTCTCTAGTGACTAGCATCCTCCCCCAACTTTTACAGTTGGAGAAGGTGAGGTTCACAGAGGTCAATTACTCGACCAAGGTCACAACTCCGATGAGTGATGAATCCAGTCACAACTCCGATGAGTGATGAATCCAGGAGTTGTACTCAGGCTGTCTTGGCCCAGAATCATGACAGGGATGCCTGCTCTATTCTGTCTCCATCCTATAAGGCAGGGCAGAGCAGAGCTAGAACAACTGAGCATCTGCAAGGCCCCTGGCATGGAGCAGGAGTAAGTCCTTCCTGGGGTCCATGAGACCTCCCAGAGTCACCCACCACTAACCCCGTTTAACCTCTTCACCATTAATCATCTGAAAGGGTGCAGATTAGGTAAGTCTTAAAAAAAACTCATGCCAGAGATCAGTGGAGTTATGGGAGGACTCATCCCCATTCACACCCCTCAGTTCTGCTGCCATTTCCAGACAGGCTCCTCTGCACCTAGACCTGGGTGGGACACTCTCAGTTTCCCTCCGCTTCCATCCCTGCAGGCACTGGGAACACAGGAGGAGGAGAACACGGCAGCTAAAAAGTCCTTTTCTTCCCTGCTGCATCGGGCCATAGAGAAGAGCCCTTTGCCTCCTTGCCAGGATCAAAATGAGAAAGACCAATGGTTAACTCCAGGTTGCCCTCACCCAACCCCTCTGTACCTGAGGTCACCCTTGCATAACTCATCCTCACTGTACCTGCCCAGCTGCTTCCTGCAGATGGAGGGAGGAAGAATTGCTGGAGACTTCAACACCATTTCCAGCACTCAGGACCGAGCTCAGCTCACGTGATAATTACAGAAAATGAGTGTTCTGGGAATCTGCTGGTGCAGTATACTGCCCACCATTTTTGGAACCTTCCACTCTGAGCATGAAGCCTGTGACTCTTAGAAGCTCATCTGGCTCCTCCTTTTTTGAGAGGAGGCTTGTCTACCCACCCCAAGGCTTGGATTAAGACAATGGGTCTCCCTTCTTGTTCTCTTTACAGAAGAAGGGATCGAGCTCAGCTCACGTGATAATTACAGAAGATGAGTGTTCTGGGAATCTGCTGGTGCAGTATACTGCCCACCATTTCTGGAACCTTCCACTCTGAGCATGAAGCCTGTGACTCTTAGAAGCTCATCTGGCTCCTCCTTTTTTGAGAAGAGGCTTGTCTACTCACCCCAAGGCTTGGATTAAGACAATGGGTCTCCCTTCTTGTTCTCTTTACAGAAGAAGGGAAAGGTAGCTCATGTCTACTTCTATCCCAGAGCTTCTGGGAAGTCTCCACTCACCCAAACCCAATGCCTGAAACATCCTCTGGGATGAGGGTGTCTCAACGTCCGCACTACTAACACTCACGCCAGATAATTCTTGGTTGTAGGGGCTGTCCCATGCATTGTAGGATGTTGAACAGCATCTCTGGCCTCTACCCACTAGATGTCAGTAGCACCCTCCCCAAGTTGGGACACCTAAAAATGTCTTCATACATTGCCAAATGGCCCCTGGGAGGCAAAATTGCCCCAGGTTGAGAACCACTGTTCTGGAGTCAGGCTTTATCCAAAGGCCAGGAAGTTCTCAGTGCACTGCTGAGATGACTCCAGGCCCCACATAAAGCAGATCTACTATATTCCCCACCCCCAGCTAAGACCCCTCCAACCACCTTTCTATCCCCAGCCACACTAGTCCACAGCTTCTTTGGGAGGAGTGCAGGGGTCCTCCCTGGGCAATCCAGGGGACTTTCAGCCCACTGGTTCCTCTTCCCTAAGCCCTCCCAGGCACGTGTACCAAAGACAGTGGCGAAAGCAGCGTCCACTGGCTGAGTCCTAGAGGTCAACCCAACACTTAAGGCGCAGAAGACGGCCCTCCACAAACTCTGGAAACATGTTTGAAGAAAGAGAGGGTCACACAAAGATAAAGGCGTCCTCAGGCCTGGAGGCTCAGGTAGGGCCCAGCTGTCCATTAGGCAGAGCAGGCACAGTGTGTAGGGGCCTAGAAAATGTGTTAATTTCTTTTTAAATTAGAAGAAAAAAACTTTTAGGTCAAATGTCTTAATATACAATATTAATACATCCACAGTTATATTATAAGTGTGTTTTTATAGAAGAGGGCCCACAAAGGCAAACGCGTCCAGGGCCCGTGAATGTCACAATGTGACCCTGGCTCCAGGTCCCAGGAGGATAGAGCTGGCTTCCTGTCCTGAGATGTCTCCAGCCTCTCAGAGGTGAAGGTCAGTTTGTCCACCCTCACAGAGACCACCTGCATTCAAGGGTATGTTTTCATTCCTTTATCGATCTCACCACTGCCGGCGGGCATGCCGACAAGATGAGGAAATCCAGGGGCCCGGCTCGCTGCCCCACGCTCTGCACGGCATTGTTTCCTTCTCTGCAACAGGCTTCAGGACCTAAGTCCAATGGCTGGCTCTGAACTCCTCATCTTGAAGTGGAGGCCCAGGGAAACAAAGGGAACTGTCAACTGGGTGGAGTTCAGAAAGGAAGGTAGGCTGAGAAAAGCCTTCATTTCTTAAATTAAGAATTTAAGAAATTAAGAAATTAATTTTCCCACCCAAAGAGGTTTGAGAATTCAGGCCCCAAAGTCTAACTGCCTGAGTCTGAATCCCAGCTTTACTGCTTAGCTGTGCAGCCCCAGACAAGTTACTTAAGCTCTCTGCGCCTCCACTGCTCATCTGCAAAAAAGGAGACAAAGAGCATCCGCCTTCAGTGGGCTGCTGGGAGGATCACAGAGATGCTTCATGCACACACGGTGAGTGTCTGACACACAGGAGGAGCCCACGGGGTTAGCTCTTAGCTGCTTCCATTTTCTCTCCACCAAAAAAGTCCCCACACGGCCCCTGACCCTCAGTCGGACAAGGGCATCACCACCAGTTACCAAGTTTTTCCCATACATTCTCTTACAGGCTGCAGGAGCAAGCCACAGGAGAACATTCCAGATGCAGAACTCCAGCTAGAGATGGAATTTGCCTTCAGAACAAAAATATCAAGTTGTATTTTTTTCTGCCTAAAAGAGTTAGGTTTAGAATAATATTTATTAAGCAACCACTTTTGTATGCAGCTCCATAGGCTATGGTGCAAAGGTCACTATAAGAAATGGTTCTTAGCAACCCAAATAGCATGGTTGGAAAAGCCTTAGAGATGACTGACAGAGACCTCCAAGGCCCCTGAAGATGCTTTTCTCTAGGGATTAGTAAGCATTACTCTTCTTCCCTACACAGCAACTGCCGAGATAGGTGAACACTGAGGCAGAGAACCTCACAATTACCTACAGAAGGTAAAGCTTTTCCAGTGAGAAGTGGGGGAGACGATGCAGTAGACCACCCCAGGGCCATTTAGTGGGGGGCTTAAGCAGGAGAACTCATGTCCCTGCTTTAGCTGGAGTGCCACACCTTTCTACTTAGACACCTGGAGGAGAGCTGGAGATGAGAGAGGCAGATGGAATGAGAGGAAATGGACCAGTTGTCCCATTTCACAGATGAGGCCCAGGACTATAATCCGGATCTACAGGAGCAAACCCAACCTTTCTGTCATCATCAGCGGTGCTTCACAACTGGCATGGGGTCCCTACATTGTCCTTTGACACTTCCTGACTAATATAGCTAAGGAGGCCAGTTGAAAACTGATACCCCAGGAGAAAGAGCTTTATGTCCACTTCTAGGCATTAATAACCTGGTTTTTAAACTTACTTTTGTCATAGACCTTTTTTCTCAATGTAATCTTGTTTCACTGTAGCACTGACAGCTTTACTCAACAAATCAAAACCCTTGTGTTCCACAGATCCTCACTCTTATAAAACCTCATTTTTTCCTAGTGCAATATTCTACCTCAATGCTCCATTTGGAAATTAGTGATTCCTGATTTATGAGAGACCTTACAGCACTTTGGAAAATAAGCCCCATAAATGTAAAAGCAAGCCCCTAGTTCTTCTCACGTGGATTGTGCAGCATTGGTCCTCATCCAGGCCCGCTGGAAAATGAGACCTTCCTCCAAAAGCACCACATCTAAGCTTCTACCTGAGAGCTCAACTTGCCTTTCTTTTTTCTTTATTCTGAAGGAACTCTAACCATTTTCCCAAATTTTCCTATCTCATGATTATCTTGAAGTCTAAGAGCTGGGGTACCATAGAAATGATCTAATCCAACCCTGAAGCTATCATGGCCTCCAGTGGCCTCACCTCCTGCAAGAGGTAATAGCATTCCGGGCCCTTCGATAATAGATTCTGCATAATGGGCCAGAGGAATGAACGCTGGTTGCTTTCCTGGTTCCACCCTGGATGGGCACAGAATTCACATAGCTCTTTCCTTGTTAATTTCTCCCAAAACACACTTAACTTTGACATATATTGGGCCAAAGAATAAATACTAATCACCATCCTCCTCCATTAATGCCCATAGCAGTGGACAATTCATTAACAAACTCCAATGGGCAAAGAACACCAGGACTCAAGAGCCCTGGATTTCAGCTTTGCCACTTATAATTCGCCTGTGATTTTGATCAAACCCTTTAACACTTCTGAGCTCAAAATTCATCAAGTCTGAAAAATGATCTTGCTAAAATGCTGGCTGCTATTTAAACACGGTACAGTATTATTATCACTCAAACTCCCATTGTGGCCAAAATCAAGCATTAGAAGAGATGTGCAATCTATTTCTTGAATAAGTAAATAAAAGGGCTATCCCCTATGTACGGGGAAGGGTGGATGATATCTGTTCTGAAGAATGGCCAAATGCATGGAAAAAATGAGTTATGAGAGAGAGTCTGCAATATTGTCTGTTTGTGTATTTCTTCTAAAGCTTGAT